CCTGCCACATGAGCAGGAAGCAGAGCATGATAATTTTCCAGCAGTCCCTATAGGATAGGAAGCCAATTGCCAGAATCAGCAGAAACAGAGCCCAGACTAAAACTCAGTTCTGGGAAGGGGAAGGCTAAACAGACACTTCAGGGTAAAGTTTCTCAAGATAGTGGTGTGGGTCCAGCCTCTTCTCTTCTCCCTGCCTCTTCTCCACCCTCTCCTGTTCCTCTTTGCACCTCCCTTGAATTTGTCTGACCCTGCAGCAAGCTGGTTCAGTTTACCAGACCAGAAGAGAAGTAACTGGCCCCGATACGGTAAAATAAATGGGTTTTTGCCTAGCCGGTGGAATGAATCAGCCCTCAGAGAAGATCAGCAGGGCTCACAATAAGGAAGCAGTGGCTGTTGCTCTACCAGGGGCAGGAAGGGAGGGGTGGTGTGACTCACAGACAAGCTGTCCGGAGGGCTCAGCCATCCCTACAGAAAAGTGGGAAACTTCTCTCTGCCACAGATATTCCCTCTGCTCCTGAGTAAGTAATGAAAATCAGTGTACAACAGTCACCTGTGAGTATATATTACTTCTCTGCCAGCATTAATCTCTTCCATAGCTTTATGTTAAATGCTGGAAGCTATCTCCCTCAGGACTCACATGCTGAGGCTTTGGGGCACTGTTATGCATACAAATTCATAATTGTTAGCAACTGCACATTACTCAAAGATAGAGAGAGAATCCAACATGGTCTATTGTAGGACATCCTATTCTTGTTTTGGCAATGCTGGTTTATGATTTTTTTTCTTTCCTGAAAGAAAGCTTGTTTTTAATATGGGTTTCAATTTTTCTCCTGTCTGGTTTTGAGCCCAATCCCACTGACAGCACATGAAAAGAGGAAGAAAAACTCAGAGTACCAATTACAATTTCTTTTCCTAAGTTAAAGTTCACAAACAGCCAAGCACCAAAACATAAAAAAGCTTAAAATCCCACTACAATATTAGAAAACTTCATTGAGAAGAAGACATGAAATATATTTAACGGGTTTTCAGCCTTTACTTTCAAGTGACTGACCTTTCCCTTTCCCTCAAATAACAGATTAAACCACCCTTACAAGATGTTCCTGCAAAGTGTCATTTCTAATGCTGTGTGGTGTTTTCCCTAACACTAAGCATCAAAAGAGCAAGTGAAATTCCTACCTTTTCTGTTTGAGCTTTTAGGGGCTTGTTGTGATCAGCCTCACTTTCCTCCACATTATCTTCTCGTAATTCAATAGTCTCATGCTCCTGACCAGAGCTTTGCCTTTTCATAGCTTCTGTCTCTGCGTGGGGATCTCTGTCTCTGAAGCAAGCGCGGAGGCAACTCATTTCCTTCTGGTTTCAGCTGCAGTTATGGTCACTAGATGTTCTGGTATGAGACTGGAGATGGTAACAGTGAGAGTTCAGATAGTTTTTTCAGGAGTGATCTCAAAACACTGATAAATACGGGAAATTCCTTGAAAGGACAAATAACGTCGTCTGCACTAGCTACGGAGAAATGGGAGGCGGAGGAAGTATCGATCTGCCCAGTCACCAGAACTACAGCCTTCAGCTCTGCAATACTAGGTTTTCCAGTTTGCCTACCTTACCGTACCAGTCCTTGACAAGAACAAGCAGGTGACTAAACCTTCAGCAATGCTGTCATCTGCTGAAGTGATTTTGAAAGGAACCGGATTGGTTTCCCTGTCAGCCGAAACAGTAAAATACTATTGCTGTTATCCACTCGGATAAACAAACAGATGTGGTTCTTAACAGCACAAACTGAGTAAAGGATCACGTAGCTTGAGGTTCAGTTAGACTGTGAAGGGAACATATAATATCCATCAGTAATTCTAATTTTAGTCTCCCTGTATAGCCAATAAAGAAGTGGACGACACTGACCTTCGTGCCACAAACTGCCCTCTCGCTAGCTGTTATGCAGCCTAAAATAATCTCTAGTGCTAAAGAACCGTTTACTTCTATTCACATACTGCTCTGAGAAGTATGCTTCCATGTGGAGGAAAATAAAAGGGCAAATCTGAAGAGAGATTTGTTTTCTTCAATTTCATCCTGTGCTCTACAGGGCATTTTATGAAGCAAATTATGGTGTGAGAGTTGAGATCCAGTCTGCACTGGCTTCCCGCATGAACTCTCCTGTGCAACTCAGAGTCACTCGTAACAACTTATGGCAGACAGGGGCCGATTCCTCCCCCCACCTCCCCAGTGTCCTTCATCCTACCTCCTCTCATTTCTCCTGTTCTGACTCCATCCTTGTGTTTCTCCTTCCTCCTCATAGAGCACCTCTGGATAAAAAAGGTTGGGCAGGCAGCCAGTAACTGCACTCTTGCTCACTTTCTTGTCCCAGCACAGAGAGGACAGTACATTAAGAGGGAAACAAAGCCTCTTTCTCCAACTCCCTCCCTTGCTGGCTGAGCATTCACTCACAGCACTGCTCCTTCTTTTTCCTGCCAAATGCTGAGAATGTTTTTCCTTTCCCCAGATTTTCTCATTGTGCAACTCATCTGGCTACTGATGCCTGGAGCATTCCCAGAGGTTCAGACTCCTGATGTCATGTCACAGCCATCCAGTAAAAGGCAATTCATCAAGCTGAGTTGAGTCACACAGCTTGGTCTCATTCAGTGAGTAAAAAGAAGTACAAATTGCATATCTCACCTTTCGCTTCTGGAGAATCCTTAAAACACCCAAGGACTTGAGGAGGAGGCTGAGCAGTCATCAAGATCAAAACATGTGTCTGGATCCACAAGATTTTATCTGCAACATCTTCACTAGAAGAAGCTTTTACCTGATTGTTCTTAGTACACCTGCTGGAGATGAGCTTCATTTATTTCATTTCCACTCACAGTAAAATACCTTACCTTCCTACTAAATTGTCTGAAAACTAAACACTTTTCCAAAGTCAAATGAGTTGATGATGGATCTCACCTTGCAAAAAGCAAACTTCTTTGTAATTACATCTGTGAATGAGCTCCTAACAAAATCTTGAGTTTCTTTTGTCTGGGTGTTCTAACATGCACAGTTGGTGCCTATTCTGGCAAGTTTTCTGACGCATGAAGCTGAGAAACTCTTAAAGAAAATGGGAAGTGGAGAACTGATCTGATCTTTCTGGCCTAGGCTTTTATCTAAACCAGAACAACATGAAAACTGTTCTCTTCTGTAGTGAAGACATCTCTGGTTTCAATATAAGGAAAAGAAACTTGTGCCCTTAACTGTGCACTTGAGTAAAACAAGCAAGTTAGTCTCACCTTCACAAAAAGGGAACTCCAAGGTACAAATGTAGTCCTGATTGCCCCTGGGGATTAAAGTTTCAGAGGCAAAACAAAATGAACAAAGCATAGACACTTGCATTTTTAATATGTGTTTATTAAAAAGGAATACGTGAATGAATGATTAGCCTTTAAAGACACTTACTTAACTCCCTAAAATACAATCTTTGAGTACAGCTTATGTAGTAAGTTTGACTCAGCATTGTGGAAGGAGAGGAATGCTCAACACTAGTGCAAGATATAAAGGAAAAGCAGTATCAGTGTCAGACGCAGGAATCTCACTGCATGCAGCTTACAGTGCTAGCTTATCCCTCTGGTTTTCCCACATGATGCCAAGGTGGGTCTAAAACTAAACCAGGATCACATATTTGTGTACTGTGGAATAGAAGTGTGCAATGTGGGCAGCAGTAACTGGCATTCAAATTGCCAGCTTCATTTGTTGGTTATTTTTTCACATTAAAGGTGAAAACTAAACACCTCCAAATACTGAGCACAATTTTAAGACCATCTAGACAGATCTTTCATTAAACTGAATACCAGCATTCTTAAATCCCATAAACAACTTTGGAAACCTTAAATCACCTAGATTTGGTCTGATCAATATTGAATCAAGGGATTATAATTATCAAAGCTAGATTTTCTGTTAGGGTTAAAGGAATGAGGCTGTCATTTCTTCTTCTTTATTTGAGTCCAAGGATGCATACAACCACATAAATCCCTTTTTCTATTATGCCCTTTTCAATGTCGTATGGCCGTGTGGGCACAGCCCAGGAAGAGATACAAAACAAAAATCCTGACCCTGAGACTCAGTTTGCTGCAGACCAAGGACAGCAGGAAAAGCAACACGAACCCTCCAGGAACATGTTAAAATTCACAGAGCATGCCAGAGCTGGGGAAATACACTTGCAACATATTGCAAACATCAGACCCTACAACTATGTTCAAATTGTAAAAAGAATGTAAGAAAACACTTAAGTTTCCCTTTGTTTAATTAATTAAAACTGAGTATTTTTTCCTCTTATTTAAACTTCATCCCAAAGATCGTAAATGATGCTCTTCCAGTTCCCACATGAAAAATTCTTGTGTCCTAACATTTGTGAGCCATACATCTGATGATTTCTAAGAAAACACAGAAGAAAGCCCAAAAGTTACAGTCCAGAAAGGAACAGTGGTACAGTGGCAGCAAAATTAGAGGACGAATTATCTAAGGTTTGTACACTATACTGATTATAGTATTTGTATTTTCAAGATATATGAAATAAATATTTATGTTTAAAATCCTGTGACACCACTGAGGTAATGTATATGAGTTGAGTGGTTGTTGTGGTTCAAGGAGATGTGGCCATGAATATCCAGATACTTGTACGTGGAAACATATATAGTTACATACATAGCAAAGGAGATGGAAGGAGGAGAGATTTGCAAAAAAAGGATTTGACTGGATTTTTGTTACAGGTTCTTATTCACTTTATGTTGCTTTTACAGCAGTGTTGTTTCTGCTGCTGTGGATAGGGAAGATGAATCCATAAGGAATCCGAAGTTGCTCTGAATCTGAACGGTTACTGCTAGGTGAACAACAAATATTTCTTCATTAGGAAAGCACATTCCCTCACAAAGAAAGTCCATGGCATTTTCATGTTATATCACCAGAGACAGAAATGATAGACTACTGTAGGGAGCAGCTATCATACAGGAGATGGTCTGCATTTTCTCCTTGATACATCAGTTTGTATTCGTACGAATCCAGTCATAAAGTGCTGTCACCTTAGTGTATACACCAGGACGATTGCGCCGAGCACATCCTTCACCCCAGCTCACAATGCCAGCCAGGTACCATCTATTCCCTTTTCCTGTGCAGGCCAAGGGACCTCCAGAATCTCCCTAAAATAAAGAGAGTTCAGTCATTAGCACACGTGTGCATGTATACTCACACACAAAGCACTGTAACAAAACTTAAGTTATTTAAGGAATGTAAATAGCTGCCCCTCTATTTCAGTACAATTTAATATCAGAATCTTATTTATGAGTAGAACATACCCAGATAGGTGTCAAATTTATTCAATTTATTTTAACTTATGGAAGTAGCACACTAATCAATATAAAACAGTGGCAAAAAGAAGGTTAAAAAATTACTAATATCCCGTTATAGGATTCATAAAGCAACTGATCACAGGCTGAATGGGAAAAGGAGAACATAGGGAAGGGAAGTAGGAATTTTGCTGACATTTGACCGTAAATTGTTCACAGGTTGAAGGCAGAACTCTTATACTAGCAAAATACGGACAGAAAGGTACCACACCACCCCAGTGAAATGAAACAAAACCCAAGAAAACAAAACCAAACAAACCAGGCACAGTTAAATATTATCAGCAGTTTCATAATCAAGACTACGTCTATGTTCATAGAGGGAGACAAAGGAGCAAAGACCAAGGAACGTGCAAATAAGAACTGGCTTCTCAAAGGGCACATGAGGCTCTGTACAGCAACTTAGAAAAGTATAATTTCCCATTAGTTCAGTTGACAGGATCAAAATGCATTTGGGCTCACAAATGCTTTGTGTCCTTTTTTGTTTTAACCTTGTATGCTTTCTGTGAAGAGAGGAGTTCACAGAACACCAAGCAGTTATGAATGCAGCTCATCCCTGCATCTGTTCCCTATGCACAGAAGGCCGTCAGCAGCCTTCAGGTCGACCCTGGGGTTTGTTTGCTGTCCCCAGTTGGAGCTAAAACATGGAAGAGGTCAGAAGAAAGCCACATACTGAGAAAAGAGAAACAACAGAAAGCCTTCATCACCCAACCAAACAAAATTATCTAGTGATAACAAAAGAAGCTAGAACAGTTCTAACATCATTCCTCTCTGGTACTTCAGAGGAAATATAGTAGTGACAGAAAAGAAAGAAAGAGAGACTCAAACACAGCATATTCTGTTGGAAACAGGATTAAGTAGTATGGTATATAGCCAAATTAGTTAAAATGTCCATCTAAAAGTTCAAGGGCACTTCTTAAGCAACACATTTTTTTTGAGGAACATCAAGCCTCTGGAACAACATGTTTTGAAAAACAGATCTAAGGTTATACACAAATGGCACCAAAAGTTAACAAAAATAAGAATTCATTGAATTAGAACTTAGAGACTGCAGGAACATCTTGTGAATAGTCTGTTGTGTAAAAAGACCTTTGTCCCATTAAGAGTTATAATCTTGCAAAAATCATCCTATTACATTAAAATAGTAAAAAGTATACATTACACAAAAATTCTATCAAATTGCCACAGTCTGAAATCAGTAACACATTTCTCTGCCTTTACACGATAACCGATATAAAGACCATGTTTGCAATTTTGAAAGTGGACATTCAAGATAATAAGTTTAAATACTGATTCAGTGCACAACTAGTCTAACAACTGAGAAGGAGAAAGAAGGCAGATTTGAGACAGTTAAGTACATCCGAATGCAGCTTCTGACTGTGTATGCAAATAAACTAGGTCTCAAATAAATTTATGATACCATGATGCAATCAAAACTTGTAATTATACACATGAACATGTGTAAATAAAAGGGAGCATTGCAACTGCATTTACTAAACTGCATTTACCTTTGCCTTTTCTGTTTCTTTGTAACTCTAAATTACTTACCATACTGTTACAATATTTTATTAATCCCACACCCAGACATCAAAAGAAGGAAAAAAAATCAGTATGAACAACAAAACGTCACCGATGGCCCTAACTTTATTCCCTTCATCCTTGCACCTCTCTTCTTTTGTAGGAAATGTAACTGTCAAAGAGGAAAAAGAATTCTTTGACACGTTTTACTCCTTGTCTTTGCAAAGCAATATGTCTCAAGTGATTCAGATATTATCTATGCCAAATTTTCTTCTTTATTTAAGGAGAGTCTTTAATTTCCATGTTAAATTAACCATAGACTCAAGACATCTCACTCTATTACTAAGATAAAACCCAAAACACAAGCAACCCACAACTCTGAAGAGTTTTCCTATGATAGCAAATATTCCTTTGTCGTTTCTCTACCAGTTCCAGATTACCTGACATGCATCAATGCCACCATTAAGATTCCCAGCACACAGCATACGTGATGTGATAAGATCATCATACAGCTTGTTGCAAACACTTTGGTTAATTATTCTCACTCGAGCTTCCTGCAGTGTTTTGGCAAGATGACCTAGAAAATTATGAACGGTATTGCAGAGGTTATTGTAGAGTAGATTTCCAATAGAGATACCACTTGTCAAAACAAAAGATAATTGCTTCAAACTCAAAATCTACTCAGCTGATGGCAGGAGAGTAGTTCCCCTCCCTCCAGTTGCTGCCTGCCCTCAGCTTTTGAAAACTCTCGTCTATACTACACTCCAGCCATAGGGGTCCATATGCACCACTTTTAGTTGGTTGCAAGTTTTTGTTTTCACAGAATCACAGAATGGTGTGGATTGGAAGGAACTTAAAGATCATCTATTTCCAAACCCCCTGCCATGGGCAGTGACACCTCCCACCAGACCAGGTTGCCCAAAGCCCCATCCAACCTGGCCTTGAACACCTCCAGGGAGGGGGCATCCACAACTTCCCCGGGCAACCTGTGCCAGTGTCTCACCACCCTCACAGTAAAGAATTTCTTCCTAATATCCAGTCTAATATCTTGTCAGTTTCATTACCTGTGTAGCTTATGGCCTATTCACCAGATAAAATGAACCATGAACGTGAAAAAGGGCACATTTTTGTAAATCTGTGGTAATTTCCTTTTGTGTGACACTCAAGTATGTGAATTGGGACTTATCACCTGCCATCCAAGCAAACATTCAGAATTCACAGACTGCAGCTATGGGGATATTTTCTAGTTTTTTGTAGACCTACTAAGTAAACCACAGGTATTTTTTCTTACTACTATAATTATTTAATTGTTAAAGATTAAAATTAAGCTAAACTTGCAAGAAGTATATCCAGGAAATGAACATACTATTTTCTTTTATGGCTCCCCAGCCAGTTACATAGCAGACACTTCCATAAACAAATACTCTAGAGGTGCTGGGTAAACAAATGGGCTGTACCAGCTCATTGAAGAATACAGGCGTCTCCATTTCCAACAGGGCAACATCATAGTCTAAGGTAGATTGGTCATAGTGTGGGTGGACAATAATCCTTTTGATAGATCTCACAGCTACACGATTAGTCTTTTCATTAATAGCATTTAAGCCCATATATGCTCTCCATCCTGAAGGAACAGAGTATCTGTAAAGAGAATATTTTATTGTGTTCCATTGTAATGCTGTGTCAGTTCACTCCATTTTATCTGCTTATTGGTATTTGATGATATTCATCATGGTTTTACTTACTATTTTGGAAATAATAATAATTTATTGAAGCTAGAAGACCAATTCCTTGCAATACATCATTCTTTGGAAATCAGAGAAGTGTATTATTGAACTCTGTTTCCTCCTTGCTGCATGTAGGAGGTATGTTTTTTCAACTTACACTACCTAAACTGAACATAGGTGAGTTTTACACTCCACTTATCAATAAAATAGTCTTTTCTTTGTGAGAAATGTATTTTGTCATGCAGGATTCACTGGCAAAATAAATACTTCAGATACATAGGACTTTTGAAGCCAGCAGAATACAATATTAAGAGTTCGTGTAGTGACATCATGTCACAGTTATAGCCTGAATCAGTTTATCTAGATTAGGAATAGCTACTGCAGACTTTTGAAAGCAACACTGTAAGGTTAAACTGCAAATAATCTATGACAGTATAACTTTGTCATACCTCACAGAACCAGAATCCAGGAAGCAATGTGCAGCAGATATGAGCCACCTATTGGAGATAACAGATGCACCACATATATGGCCGTGTACTCCCATCTGTAAACTTGCTTGCCAAGGCCACTTTCCAGATCTTGCATCTTCACCTCCAACAATTCTGTTTTTCTTAAGCTGGTGTCTCCCACAAGCTAATAGAAATAATTTAATAAAATAGTAACAAAAAACACAAGTTCATTTCACTTTGCTATGCTTAATACATAAATTTTTATCCATAGACCTCAACAATGTTGGAAAAAAAAGTATATTCTTACTGTGCAATTGGTAAAAAGTTAGGGGTATTTGCCCATTTTCACTTAATGGGCAGATCAGGAATAAATCAATCATTGCCTGTCCTCCCTTACTCCTTTCTAAAGAGGTCAGTAACTCAAAAAGACATTTAAGGACAATTCTAAGCTGGCTTATTTCCAAAAGTTCACTTGAATGAAATCTCCTATCTTTTCCCTCCTTACATACACAGCTTCTTGCCTGCATTTAATTCAGCTCAATCAAGCACTAAGACCTACCACCTTAACCTGGAAGTCTGCATTGCTTGAAATAAGTCATCACAGACAGAATGGATCAGTGGGTTTAAAATGAAACAGTGAAAAATTCAAGACAGGCATTTTCATGCAGATATTTTTTTTTTAATTCACATCTGATTTAATCACAATAATGCTTGACCACAGCACAAATTCCTGACTTAGTTTCCCAAGTCATTAACTAATTTTTAAAATTAATGTTACCACACCACAGTTCATTTCATCAGATCCATCTGCACAGTCTCTTTTCCCATCACACTCAGGATTTGGTTTCAACAAGCATTTTCCGTCGAGGCATTTGAATGCATAAGGGGAGCAACTTTTGTAGGCTGAAATAAGAGAGAGAAGATAGTGTCACATATTTGGAACCACAGTTTCAAATTTAAAAACTTTCACCGTGGAGTGGGTTGAATGTGCAGGTAGTTCAAAGTTGCTCATTCCAGTCTGCTTGAGGTCATAGTCTGTAGGGTGTAAAGTGGTCCCTCTATGGAGAAGGGACAGGGGGAGTGTCAGATCTGTTGCTTTACCTTCACCAACTCTACTGGCATTACAAATTATAAATCTTCACAGCAAATATCATATGAACATCCACATTTTTGGTGTTGAGTGAAAGTTGAGAAAAGGATGCAAAAACATTATACTTCCCTCCAGGAAATTTTTTGCTAAGGACTATTGCAGTTTACTATGTAAGAATCTTGATAGGTCTCAGCAATAGGCTTTCATTACTATCATTCTTTCTATCAGTTGCTTACAGTGATCTCTAAACTGTGGTAGGCATTTTTTTTTCCAACAAACAAGGACATGCTTCTGGCAACCTCAAGGACCTAAGATTCAAAGCAACACAAAAATTATGAAGGCAAAATGTAGCAGGTCACTACAGAGACATTAGTAGTACCAGCAATATCCGTAACCATAGTGTATCTGCAGTAAAGAGACCATGTATGTGGCAAAGAGCAAAAGTCCCAGAGCTGTTATGTCACTCTCCCTTACATTATTTGGTACAGATCTGGCAGCAGTATGAGGAAAAGCACTCTTCTAATAGGATCACCAGCAAGCTGTCATTAGGTCATCTAACTAAAATCACTGTTATCTTAGATTTTGTTTCATTAACTTGTCCAGACTCTCCCAAGAACTAGTTATACTCTGCATGTTTTGTTTTCACTATTATGAAATCTGTACTTTGTGCTGTGAAAAAAATTAGAAATACTACATTTATCCATTAAAATAAGCATATTCCTGAACCTGCCTTCTCTTGGAAAATAGCTAAAAATATATACTTACAACAGTTGTTTTCATCACTGTCCTCTTCACAGCTGTCATCATCTTTACAGGTCTTATACTGATGCTTACAATTCCCATCACCACAGTTCAACTGTTCTGAATTACAACCTGAGGAATAGAGGTCCGTAAATGCTTTATAACCCAAATAAGTGGCTAGCAGCCATGTGCTACAGTCCCTACCAGAGGTCACCTTGATGTTACTGTACCATCTCTGCCAGCCATTAGTCTACCTTGGTTTTGATAGCCTTCAGTGACAGAGAGACTTGTTGCATTATCTATCTTACGCTGTGCTCTCTGACCTTGAATTACCCTCTGGTTGCCCTGGCATCTCTTCACTGTTCCTCATCTTTGATGTGCAGAGCCCAATGTAGATATAGTACTCTAGCTGAAGCCTTCCCACTGGTGACTGAGAAGATCTTTTCAAACTCCTGTCTTACATCCCATTGTGACATTTAAAAAGAAACAAACAAACCAAACTCCAAACAAAGCACCAAACAAAACCAAAACACACAGAGAAAACTGAATGACTTTGTGGCTCTCAAGTCAGCTTTTGATCCACTATCACTCCCCAACCTCAGGAAAGAAACTCGGGCAATCTACATGTGTAGTTACTTTCCTAAGTTCAGATCCTGTCTTTATCGAACGCAATGTCATTTTCTCCATATTTGCCAGCTTGTAAGGAACATTTATAAATCTATTTCTCTTTCTATCGTGTGACACTTTTCCTGTTTCATAAGCATCTTCTCCAATCCGTCATTCAGATCACTAACAAAAATTATGAGGAGTCCCATAACAGATACTGGCAGTTTTCTGTATTTTTTTCTCACAGTGTTTCCTTTACTTACTGATAAGTTTGTCACACAAAACAGTGTCAAAGTACAACTTCTCTCCTTTATTTATCCTTTCATAGCAGAGAAGTAAAGCAAAATATAAAAACACTATGCTGTTTTTTAATACTTTTTAAACTGTTTACAAATAGCTTAATTTGACCACTTGTTACTTTTTTTTTTGGAAGCTTAACTTATAAAGTTTGGTGTAAAATTCCCTTCTCATTTTTTTTTGTTCTCTCACTCTTTAAAGAGACACATAACACAACCTCTTCTCCAGACTTTAAGATTTTCGCTCACACCTTTCATGTGATCTTAAAGATAGCCACCCAGTCTTTAAGCTTCCTAGAACCCACTGTTCACAGGAGAACACAAACAAGAGATAACTGCCCTATTGCTATCCAATTCATCACTACCACCTGAGCAGCATTTCCAGCCTTCGGGCTGATTGCTTGAAGGAATGCAGGTTCTACCTGCACACCTAAGAACAAGCTAGAAAAGCAAGAAATTAATGGCACTAGAAATGGTGTCACAGTCTAAATGCATTAATACAGGACAGTTCCATGAAGAAATATTAAAATAGATATTAAAAACCAAGGCTAGTATAATTTATAAACTAAACTGAAAGTCAAAAAAGGAAATACTGTCTTACTCGGCATAATCTGTAAAGGCCTTTTATCAGGCATTCTGAATTAAGTGAACTAATATTCACCTAAATGGACTTAGAAAATTAAATTTACATTGATTTCTTCACTCAGGCTTGAAAGTGATTCAGTACAGATACATAATTACTACCAATAGTGAACACCTCTTCAATTTGTTAAGGTAATATATTTTACGCAGGAGCATCTAAGGAGGTTGTAGAAAGGGAAGTAAAAACTAGGCATTCTCCTTAGTATTATAACTACAAATTTCCTAACATATTAAAATGTGGAAATTTACCACTCCAACTTCATGTCTAATGCGAAAAAGTGCTTTATGAAACACTTTTCAAATCTAGCCATTTCATTATGACACAGCCATTCACCAAGAATTTCTTTCATTTTCACTTCAGCTAACAATTAGTATCAATGGTGTTTCTTTGCAATATATCAAAAAAGTTTGTTCTCTTCCACTTTTTCAGATGTACCACCAACAACAACAACAAAAATCAAGCCCCAAACACTGCCTTACACACACAGATAGTTGATCTGTGGAAGAATAAGCAGCATAAAACATCCTGTTTCTGCCCAGGTCAAGCCGGCTTAAACTTTTGCCCCTGCTAGCACTACAGACAAATTAACAGCTAAATGAGACTGAAGGACCAAACACATGTCCCACATTTATTTGATCAATTTCAATCTGGAGTCCTTTAGTCCTCTTCACTGCCTTGCACATGATGCCAGAGGGAGGAAAGGACACACTTCACAGCCAGCACTACGTCAAAGCAAGAGTGTCTCTGTTCTCTTCACCATTCCCTGACCTTATTCAGCTGATGGCTGGGATTTGCTTTCCAAGTCACCTCTGAGAGCAGAGCCCATGATTTTAATAACTGCTTTGGTAGGTTCCCAACAACAGGAAGAAGCTAAACTGATGTGGGTGGCTGCAGGTAATAAAGATATAGGAGAAAAACAATCTTTTTTTTCTCCCTCCTTACCATTGCTACAGACAAAGCTGTCATTGAAGAGCAGTGCTCACAGTAAGTTCTGCTCTCTCAGATAGCCCACCACAAATGCCTCTACTGTACTGACTTGATACTGACACATCACAGCTAATCTGCACTTCCTGGTGAGTCTTTATACAGATCCTTAAGATTGTGACTTAAGGGTTGATTACATGTCTTTGGGCCTTCTGCTTGCTGGCTCAGCGCTAGAGACAGAGCAGAGCACACAGAAAGTAGACTTGTACACACAATAATGGCTGGAGAATTTCTCTGTAGAAAAAGGTATTCTTAGGCTTTGACCCTTCTCTGAACCATTTTTGAGGCAGTAGCCGCAGTAGCCACAGTAACCACAGGACACAGTATAGTTTTTAACTTTTTGCAGTAGCAAGAGACACACACTGTTAGAAAAAGAAAACCCTGAAAATATCTGAGTCCTATAAAATGACTGACCACAAAGTCTGCCACTTATTCCTAATGAAAGGCATGAAGCAATAAACTATACCAGAGATCTTAATACTTAAATACTTTTAAGTCAGCAATGAACAGAACTACACTCAGTCAAGCAAGCTGAGGATCTGAAGAGGTCCCATAAACTGAACTGATCTCTTGAAATCACTGAGAACTTCAGCTGCCTAGATGTTAATTGGGAAAAAGAAGTTGGTTGGCTTAGAGGCAAAGACAAAAATAATGTGGCAACTACTAAAGAGAAGGCTTTTACAAAGAATGTACTGCAGATGTATATTTTCTAAGAAATAGCACAAGTAAATATACACATTTTTCTGAAAATCTTTGTTCCACTTTCTGGAAGTCGTCCCCCTGTGTCCCCCCACAAAAAAAAAAACAACCCAACAACCCAAAACATCTAACACTGCTCCAGAAACACAAGACTGGGGAGTCAGGAGAGGTCTGTAAGAAACCCAGTCATGTTTCTGCAATACCTGCTGGTAAAGGATCCTCATTGACTCTCAGTGAGAGAGAGACTTAAATAGTTTGTCTAAACCTGGAAGCTGATCCAGAGCACACTGAGTCACTATTGTAAAGCAAAGACTGACTTTTCATGGTTAACTATTGTTTGCAGAAGAGTCATGCTTAGACCCTCTCTGCCATACTATTTTCATGTAGTAGCTCAGCTATTTTAATATGTTACAAAAATGCCAAATAATTAGATCTACAAACATTGAGAAATTTTACTTTTACTTCCCATTTTACAGAAGTGTTGTTAAAAGTTAGAAATCAAATACCAGCTTCTAAAAGCATCTTTTACCTAATTTGTTCAATTAAATACATAACATTTAAAATATTTCTCCCTTGCAATTAGGCTAAGAAAAAAGGCAGGTAAATTCATGTTTGGCCTCTCAAGCATTGTTTCTCGAGGGTTTCTCCTTAAAAATTAAAGTGCATGCTTATTCACTTACGATCTGTGTGACTGAAGGCTTTGTATTCAATATAAAACCCTCTATGGGTGACCAGTTCATCGGAATGAAAGTTGATTGCAACAGAATAACCATATTCTCTGTTTCTGTTGTTTTCTGAAAGAGCTTTACAATATCTACAAAGGCAAAAGTGAGAATAATTAATTATTAACCAAACTGACTATTACCGTCCAGCTACCTCACCTTTTACTGAATAGAACCAATGCCAAAAAGCTTTAAAACAATACAATAAAGATCAATCTTTTATTGTTAAAATAGCCTAACAGAAGTGTTAGAAAGCCTATTCACAAATGTCTTCCACCCCACAATTTTTCTGGGACTTTGAGAAAAAATACAGCAGGATTATCCATTTCAGAATCTACATTGTAAATATAAACCACTTCTAAGCATGCTTGATTTCAGTTTTCCCATTTGGGTTTGCAAACCCAAAAGGCTACAAATCCAGTAATGGAGTCATACAGACAAATCCAACAGCTGTTGCTGATTTCAGTACACTCCTTCCAAGAGATAAATCACCGTGGGAACTGTTTTGTTGGAATTTTCAGCAGTGGTTTTTTTGCTTATTTGTCGTCTTTTTAAAACATTATTATTTGTTTTAGGTTTTTTTAAAGCACACACATTGCAAATTGTCTTATTTACAGAAAACAATTACATTCACTGAAGAGTAGGTAGTATAGAAAATGAAACTTCAGATGACGCAAACATTTCACCCATGTCAAGACCATTGCTGGGAATCTACAGTTCCACTGCAGTTGAAATCATGCAGTCCTGTAGTTTTCTATGTCATTTCTCTTAAGGAGAACAACAAAGTAAGTAAATGCCTAGCACAGTAGAAAAAGCGGGATGCTTATATTAACATAGTGACACATGTTCACTACTATGGCAGGATTAAGAACATAATTCTGCCAAAATTCAGTGAAAGCATACCAGTTCTTGTTGAAATACATTTTTCTGCACTGGAAGTTGTGAGATTTTTTTTCTTAAGTAAGGTATGTTGCCCAGAACATCAAAGTGCAAATTAGAATGTCAGAAAATAGTGTATTTACTCACCTAACTCCATCGATTTCTAACCAGTCTTTATCACATTTACTGGACCCTGGAGACTTCTCTTGAATTTGTATTATGAGGATTTTTAATGAGAGCTTGTAGCCAGGCAATGGTGCCTAAAAATCAAACGATAAATAACCTGACACACATGTTCACAAATTGAAAAGGCCTACACTTCTGAGATGATGAATCTTGTTTTACTTATTATCAGATTGAAAATACTGCATTTTTATTATGCAAATAATCACCTTCAAAGAACTAAAAAACTTCGCTATTTTAAACATGTATAGCAATCATTTTAGACCCAATGTTGGCCAGACTGTGACAGGTGAAGGACTGTAAGCCTTCCTGCAGCCAGCACAAAGCACTATATCTCAAGTTCATGTTATGTTTGTACTGCCACATGTTCTGTAGGTCAAATAAGAGATTTAATATATCTGTGGTGGCTGGTCACTCAACTGCATTAGCTAAGACCTCTCTGTTTTAGAAAGCTTTTTTCTTCCCTTTCCTGTATATAGAAGAAAGTTCTGTGTTACAAGCTGCTAATAATTTTCATTAAGCTGATGAAAGGTAGAGACTGTTACCAACTCATAGACATGAAAAATTCTTTTCTAAGGAAAGTAAAGAAAGGTAGTAAAATGCTTAATGGAGGAACAGATAAACACACTAGGAAGTTAGTGGAAATCACAAGCAGTTTTTAAGTCCTGTCAAAGGGCTTGCTGAAAATCCACACCTGAATTTCTGAGAGAGAGATGGTCCTGTTTCTGCAGAGTTCAGGGAAATACAGTGTGGTCTTCATCATACGGGGCATGATTTATATGACCATTTTTTCCTTTCTGACACAGAAGCAAAACCCTGGCTATTAGCAACTTTCTCAGGCTGCTAGGAGTTGTCATCCCACCCATCATTTCTATCACAAATAATACTCAAACTTTTGGAAGCTGACAATCTTTTTCTCCCATAACTGGCACTTGTACATAGAACAGAAAAGAAATGAGTGGCTGAGAAGAAGTCAGGTGCAGTGGTCTTAGTGTGTTTCCCTTCATTTCACCCACATCAAAAGCCATTTCTCCCAATTTTATGTCTATATCACATAAAGCAATGTCATCACTACTCAGAAGAGTCCCCAGCACTTACTCTGATGATCCAGCTGCAGTCAATGTTGGGAGGGTAATAACTTGGGTAGTAAGGGGAACTCAGTGTCCCATTCCAGGAAATATAATGACCACCACACACTGGAAGATAAATATATCAGCAAGGAACACAATTAACTTAGCTGGACTGAAGTGAAGAGCCTACTTTACTTGCTAGGACCCTTCTCTATGTACAGAATTAGAAGAATGGGCTGTGACAGTATTAAACTCGGTTTTGGCCTGTGTTAACAGAAAATCATGTAACTTCCACTTCCCATCCTCAAATTCTCTTATTTTTTGATCAAATTTCAATTAAGAATAAGCACAAAACACTTCTGTCTGGAGTTTTTAAAAAACATTTGTTCATGGTAAGTGGAAGAAGCAATTAAATGTGGACACAACAGACCTCCCCCTTCTACTAAGAGCTTTCCTAGACACCCAGTCCTTAGTGCTTCTGGTTTCCTTTAGATAACATAGCAAATGCAAACATGAATGTAACAGAAACTAAGACAATTTTGAAAATAGCAAAATTTTGTGGCAAAACCTGGGCTATTCATCATTTGAAGAGCCAATCTTCAGGACAATGAAGAAATTCTAATTTGTAACTTGCATAGGATGAGTATTTGCCTAAGCAGCATCCACAGAGACGTAAGCCGAAACGTGTAAGCTTTGGAGAAGTTTATCCACACGCTATCCCCTATGGTTTTTTCCGCAAGTTAAAATATAGTTACTTGCTCAATTGTAAAAATTCTCTCACTTAGAACTTGCCAAACAACTGTGACTAAACTTTCACTTTTGAAACCCCTACATCTCCTGTAAAATACTGCGGTTTCTCGTTATTCAAAATATTTCACTAATCTCCCAGTAGTACTCCATAGGTTTAGATATACTTCTTGGGTCTTAAATACACTTTTCTTATGCAGTTAACTACACTGAATAGTGCTTTCAGAAAAGGATCAAAGACATATTAAAAGTGTTTGCTCTTGTTTTCTGTTTTCATTAAACACACATTCCCTGAGCTGCAGATAGATTGCCAAACTTGATAAAAGTTCTGCTCTGCCACTAGGGCTATCTAGCTTTGGCTAGACATACAGTGTCTGTAGTGTTATCTGGCTGCTCTGTTACCACTGCTCAGTGGTACCCACGTAGTAAGAATAATGTCTGGGAAAGATGGCTTGGGTAGTGATCAGGAAGACAAAAAAAACTCCCCAGTCAAAGGATATTCTCTATTCTTTGTTCAGTTCTCTTTTTTTTTTTTTAAGTGGATCAGAATGACAATTCCCTGACTTACATGCCATCATTCCCTTCTCCTAGATTTTTCAGGAGATATCAACTTTTTTAGAGGCGACAAGAGGAATAAGCGTGCTTACATCAGATGGTTGTTTCTATAATTACTCACTGATTTTAGGAATGGCTTGAAAGTGAGCTTTTAATATGTTGCTTTCTTCTCTTCGGTCCAACGAGAAGGTAAGCAACATTACATTACTTGACGAAGTTAAACGTACAACAGGAGCCCAGGCCCCATGTCCACACCATCTGAAATATTACAAAAATTGCATTAAAAAAATATTCCCACGTTCCAGTCATCTTTGCTGAGAAACTGGGCGGAAGTAACACTGATCTGGTCATCTGTGTTTCAGAAGTATTCCCGTGGCTTCCACTTCCCTTTTTGTTGTTCTACTCAGTTGATGCTACACAAGGTGCTAGAGTTTCCCAGCACTGAAGCTGAGTCATTCAGGGTGAACATCACAGATATTTTTGCCTAACAGGTGACTTGGAATTTTCAGCATCAAAACGGCAGTGCCAGATCATGTTACTTCAGTAGTGACAGTGGTACTTAGTAGTAGTGGGTTGCACTGAAAAAGCAACAAGTGCCAGTGCAGCAGTGTTGTGTACATCTATGCAACAGATAAAAAGCCCAAAGCATTTCCAGACTATTAGCATTCAGCTTGGTTTCACGTCACAAAAGCTTTCACACAAGATGTGAGAGTGCCATACATGGCAACTATTTCTTTTTATTGTTCTTCTTTTGTTTAAATAATGAGGACTTAATTTGAATATATCCTAAATTATTATTGCTTGTATGTTGAGATGTTATTTCTTGCATCTGTAAACTCACTCTTATATTTCTTCCATTTTGAAAAAGGTCTGTTAATAGAGCTGAAGAGTACTACCTACTCATCTGAAGTAAGTTAAAGCACTACTAAATAAGTGCATTTCAGACACTGCTAACTGAATTTACATGCTGAGGTAGCCTCTTCCTAAAAGTTCTTAGAAAAAATAAAATTCCCCCCTTGAAACCATCTATCCTCAGATGCTAAAACTTTATTTTTAATGTGTTAATGAAGAATGTTCATGGTAGATAACATGTCCATACATTAAATTTGACTCTGAAAAGCAGTGTGGCCACTGAAGGTTACAAGATCATCTATCTCACTTATGCAAATAGCTACACAGTGACTCTGGGGATGGAGCCGTCCATAGACACAACACACCTGTTATGAACAGGGATTTGCTTCTGACTGGACTGCTACAGAACATGTGTTTTCTAAAAGTAATATAATGCAATACTCTAAAAAAAATTGAAGTCTGTATCTTTCTGAGTTGTGACAGTAACTGCATGAAATTGAAACCACTAAAAATTAGTCATAAGGTAGAATAAAGCCCACAGGAATTTATAATTCATTGGGGGGGAGGGAGCGTGGAAGATATTTTTATAGCCTTATACAAGATTTTTAATTAAGTTGTATTTGGAATCTTACATTTTGGAAGCCTGTTTGCTATCATTTTAATATCGTGACAGTTTCAGAGAATTTCTGTACAGCTCAATAGAACATCTTTGTTCTGTACTATCATACCTTGTAATGATCTTGTTCTGCAGAGGAAGAAGGAAATCATATGCTGATAAGTGGTGTGATGCACAGCTCTCTGGAGTGACACCATGCAAAGTGATAACTACCAGTCTCACCACACAATTAGAAGGAACTCGCAGCCTCCATTGATAAAAAGACTTTTTGGGATTCATCAGAGTTAGAGTCCTGTTGCTACCTGGCTTGGCATACAGGTCAAAGGATACTGCCACACAAAAGAAGCTGTATCAGTGGCTGGAAAACTGTTAAGTTGAAAGATAAATTAAATTATTGGGTAAAATTTTGGAAGAGGCAACAACACTCGCCTAACTACACTTCTTGACTACTTTAGTCTCCTCTTCACTTACTTTTACAACTACCTACCTTTTCCCTACCAGGTTGCACCACCTGCTCCCCCTGCTCTGACCAAGGAAGAACATCGCCTCATCCCCATTGGCTCATCATACACTCAGAAAGCAGGAGGGGATTTGGCTGCAACTGCTACCATCTCTGCTTGAAGCCTACTGCTTCTTTTGCAATTTTCTCTTCATCTTGATCTGTGCAATGAGAACACTAAGAATATGAAGCCAATGTTGAGGTGTGCTCAATATGGAGAAACCAGGCAAAGAGAATTAAAGCTCTACAGTACTTGACTGATTACTAACTGTGAATAATCAAAACTACAAGGCAAATAAATTATCTACAATTTTATATAGTAGCTTTTCAAAAGATATAAAGGAAAGGAGCCACAGCTCATTGCAATTCAGTGGGAACTATGAAATTTCAATCATTCTAGTCAGAACATCAGAATAAAAGCTCTAATGCATTTTCATCTCAGCTATTATTTGACGTATAGGCTAGGGAAGTCTCTAGTCTCCGTTAGTTCATAAACCTTACAGATATAAGAATAACTAGGAAACTGCCTTTTTTTTATGTTAGCAGACCTTTTTTTTTACCCAAAGTGATATTAGTTCGGATTGAAGAAGAATTACCTGATTTTAGCATCACATCATATTCTGTGGAATCTGAAACTGAAATTTAATAACTATCAGCTACACAAGCCACAGAAACAAACTAGAGAAAGAAAAATACACAGAACAGGTATTAAATGACAGGTACATTGTTACCAAAAAGCTCCATTGTAACAAGATCAAAATCTTCCTTCCCAGAAGAACTGACCATGTGAGCTGCTTGTTTACTACTGATTTCTTTTTGTCCCACTGGGGTTAATTTTTTAAGAGAAGCAACCATATCTTGCGGTGCCCAGAATGTATTCCAGTAGTAAGCTCGAAGTCCAGACTTTCCTTCACTGTGGAGGGAAAAAAAAAGCATGATAAATTCACTCTAATTAGTATTTTGGACTTGCTTTCCACTGGTCTGCATTTTTGGTTGACACAGTCTCATAGCAGTTGAACTGCTGTGTAAAATGTTGCAGCTGAACACAGTGGCAAAACACTCTCTTGTGTAACAACTGCTTTTTTAATACAGTAGAAATACTTCAAAATATGCTGCTTAAACAGTAACACACTGAGGCTGAAAACTACAACACAGACAATCTTTGCACTAACCTTTATGGAATTGGATATTTCCATCCCCAGTGATTTTATGCCTAGATGTTGATACAACAATTCACACAATCCTTGTTAAAATTAATAATCTGTATATGTGCATATGCAAAGTATTACTTAAGTGATTCAAAGAGGCAGTCAATCACACTTCCTTTCAAAATGGCCTGTGGATTGACCTTTCAAAAGTTTTCAAGGCCTATCAGTATAGTAGTAGCCATCTGTTCAATGTATTTACATTTCTTACCAGGAGCTTAAGTACAGTGGCCTCCACAAAATTATACCTTTAAGTTTCGTTTTGAGAGGTTAAAAAGGAATTTCATTTAAATAGACAAAACCAAAATAAGATTCTGCAAGTGGTAGAAAAGACATCATAATGAACTATGATTTCAAAAAATCAAAGGCAGATGAATAGACTACAAAGTAATCTGTAAACCAAGGCAAAATTGATCAGACTTCATCTCTCTAGCCAGTTCTTCAGGGGAAGACAAAAACCACACTATTAGCTTAGCCATTAGCTCACATAAGTAAGTGCATTTCTGCATTGTTCATTCCCTATTACAGAGATCTGCATATTCTTCCAGATAACTAATTTAAAATGCATGGAAAAAGAAAAAAAAAGACAAACACAGCTGAATATCTCAAATTTATACCCCACTGTGGAACAGAACTTACCTGAAGGCAGCCACTACAGACTTCAAGTAGTACTTTCCCAAGGAGGAAGACTTATATGATTCTGCAAACTGACAGATAAATAATGACAAAAGACCATGTAAAAATTGTTACATTTTAGTGTCAACATAATCTTTTATGCTATGAAGTATTTGTCTTATTTCTTACTTTCCCCTTCCACACCCCCCTCCAATATTACAAGCACTATCCGTCTTTTTAACAAAATATATCAAATAAAGTTCATAAATGTGCTTTCTTATTCACTTAAAAAAAAAAAAGATCTAAGTCACACTACATTTCAAGACAATTGAGATAACTCTTGACAATTAGCCATGAAAAAAAAGACTTTTTGAATACTTTCATATTTTTGTTTCAGTCTAAATTTCTGGCATATAGTCTGGACATGAGCAACTAGTATTGGCTATGCACAAAGCAGCTTTGAGACACTAGATTACCTCTTTTGGGAAATACAGTCTAACAGAGAACTGCTTTGTGTTTAAGATCTCACAAATAGGAACTCACATAAGAAGTGCAAGAAAGCAAGCATTGTTTTGGGGGATAAGGGAAAACAGAAAAAAAATCAAAAAGTTAAGCATTGAATTTGAGCGATAATTAAAAAAAAAATCTAAGAGAAAAATGTAGCAAGGAAAAAAGTGTTTGAGTAAAATAAAACAAAACAAAACAAAACCAAACCCACACTCCTAATTCCTTTAAGAAGAATAATTTGTCCATAACCTTAAAACTACCAGGTTTTTTTACCTAGGAAATGTTGACCTTACTGTGAGACACACAGTCCCAGCTGTCTACTGACATTCCTAAAGCTGTACACTGTTGACATACTTGCTAGCTTTAAATTTACTATTTTGAAGAGAAAAAATTGTGACCAACTGGAATCTTCTCATTCCTAAACTGATTTTGTAATAAATAATTTTAAATTAATGCTATATTTCTGTGGGAACTTACATAATTTTGGACTGCTTCTGCTTGCAGGAGGAATTTCTGTGACTTTGGATCATTGAGGTCGTTTGTATAAGTCAAATTAGGAATTTCTACACTTCCACCAATATAAATTAAAGAAAAAGTCGAAGCTAAGAAAAGAAAACAATCACAAAATTAGCACATGTAATAACATTAAGGAAAAGCTTCCAGAACAAGAGGCTTGCAGAAGCATATATTTGACATTGGCATTGGTAGGCATTAGTTCTTAAGAGAAACACACAATAATAAGAAGAGTGCTAAATCAGTCCTGTTGATAGAATGATGCCCAGAAGGACAGGAGAGGGATGAGATACAAGTTCAGACAGGCATATCTACTAGCAAGCTTTAATTGTTAAAATTCCATTTTTTGCAGCACTATCCTCCTGCAGAGATATGAGTTCAATGACTGTAAGTTGCGATCTAGGGAGTAGTGTAGATAAGTTAGGTATCCATTCTTTTTGAAAAAGATGAATAGAAGATCGAAAGTTAATTCCTATAGGTTCTTGGGAAAGATGACAGTTATAATAATGATGGTATCCACAAGCAGAGACAAAAAAATGAGAGGTAAAATACATACCTTCATTACTCTAGTGCAACTATCAACCACTAATTATTATGCATTTTGTTACCTTAACAAAAACATTAAGAGAAGGGAAAGTCTCCTTTATGCATGCATTACTCACTTAGTGCAGAGCTTTTCATACTAATCATTCACACAGTGAAAAAGACCCATCTCATCCAGACCATGATGGGAAGTAGCACTTACAGAACGAATAGTGCAGGACTAGCACGATTACTGTAACTATTAAAGAAACCATAGGTAGTATTCCTAGAAGCCATCTTCTCCAGAAACACCACCTCATCCTTTTGAAGAAACAGTGCTTCTGACACAAGCCTTCTTGGTAGGACGAACAGTAGCGAACATGCGGACTTTCCTAGAAAAAGACATGGGAAGGCATCAATTAGTAAGTCAACAAAAGAAGAGCTGTTGTACCATATTTTAGTATATTTGACCTTATAGTTTTTGAAGAGGTTTAAATTGAGATAATATCTTTCACAATATCAGCTATGTCACAGATGAAACCCACATATTTCTCAGCTGCTTGCTTGTGGCATGCATTTCAAGCTATGAAAGTCAGGGGGAAAATTGCTATCGCTTTGGTTAGAAGCAATTTGCATATGAAGAGCAGAGGTCAATACACACCAGAGTGGATAGAGAGATCATTTACTGTGTCCCCTTACCTGCCTTGCAGTCTGCTCAGAGTCGTATGGAGCTGGTATGCTGTACACAGACACCCGGCTGGAGGGGAAAGCCCGTATCATGGTGCCTTGACAAATGCGTTCTGAAAAACCTAATAACCGAGTCCTAAATGAACCTTATTTCTTAAGCATAACTCAGAATAGCATACTACTCTCCCCCCAAGCACACTAGGCTTCTCTCCTTTCACCTTTGCCATACTGCTTGGAGCTGGAGCCAGCTGATCTGCAATCAAAGAAGGTGGGGAGGAAAGTTAACCATCACTGTAACTCTTTGTTTCCCTAACTGGCTAAGAAGGATATGGATTCCATCACTAGCTACCCACTTCTTTCAGAAATATAAGAATAAGAAATAATTTATGAAATAAAGCAAAGAACATGCAAGTGATTTACAAGTAAAATGTCCTAAGTAAGGTAAAGGAGAAAATTTCTAATGAACACCTGCTGGAATCTACATAAATATTTATGAGAAAGAAGAAATGCACAATTCCACAGACTACCTGAATTTTCCAGCCTCAAGATGGTCCCACAGAATAAATGCAATTGCGATGCAATTCATGTTCACATTTCTTGTTTGGAATTAAAAACAGTTTTAAGACAAAAAGTTCAGAATTTTGGCACGTAAAATAAGAAAATCAAGGATGTGTGTGGGGAAATAACATGTTTTATACATGAGGAAAGAGAGACAGAGCACACCCACATGAAGAACAAAACCTGGAAAAAACAAACCAGGCCCAAGAAACCTCAGCTTCAGAAAACAAAAAGGGAACAAACCAAGCCAAACACTGATCACATGGAGACTACAAAAGGGATTAACTGGAAGTTAATCCTCACGACTCAGGAATGCAAACTACAACTGTAGACAGACACCTTTGTTCAAGTCCTCTTTTTTTTTTTCCAGCAGCCTATCTCTGCCACACATGGAGCCTGCTGATTGATACTTTGCCTCTTCCTTCATGGAAAAGAAATCCACAGAAAAAGCCTAGCGGAAGTAAGACCTCTTTTGCATCAATTCGAAAAATTGTGCCAGGATTTTTTTTAAAACTATACAATCAGAGAACCTAATGCCATAGCAGTTTAAAATACCTCTCAAAGGGTAGAGGCATCAGTTTTTCTTAGGCAAGGGCAAGATCATGGCAAGAACACACACCACTATGTTTACTCATTTTGTTAAGGCTGCCTGCAGATAAAGAATTCAAATTCTCAAGTGGATAAACTCTGAATAATCTTGAATATGGGGAAACTAAAAAGAGGAGTTAGTAGCTCCAAAACATGCAGTTAACTGTAATGGAGAAGGAATAAGAATGATGCTTTCTTCCATGCTTAACCACAGAAATTTTGATCTCCAAAAATCTGGGTACTATGGATTTGTGAGGATTGAGTTCACTTTCTGCAAAGCCTCCTTTCCCTCTCCAACAACTGTTCTTTGCTGATAGTATTTGCAAGAGTACTAGCAGTTGGTTGATACTTCACAATCACTACTGCATTGGGCCATACACATCTCAGATGAAAAGACCAAGTAAAACTTAAGCTCTGTCTGTAGCTGGTCAGTTGTCTCTTCAGCTTCCTGACAGATGATTGCACGTGCACTTAGCTGGCGTCTGCGAAGGCAAGACAAAGTGCTAGAAGTTTGTTACTGCACCTTCTCCTGTGTCTGCATACATCTGACCACAGCAACCACCACAAGATCAGCCTCTTCCTCTTTCACCAAGGTTTGACGAAAGGGTATTTGTTACTTCCATATGTGTACTGCAGAATCAAATATTGAGGGAGATATGGAAAAAAAATCCACCACTGAAAATTTTTACCAAATATGATATTTAATTAAGATATCCAGGACATGTTTTATTCCAGCAAAACAGTTTTCAAGTTACAAGACTGAAGGCACATATTTGTGAATCCATGGTGCAAAATTTGACACTTTTGTGTAGACACCAGGGAAATTTGGTCTTCCACATCCATAACCCCAGCTAACAACGCCAGTCAAAAACCATTTTCCATCTCCGTTGCTTTGACATGACAATGGTCCACCGGAATCACCCTAAAAAGAATAAATTGAGTTGTATGTGTTTACAATACAGATTATTAAACTTGGACAAAATTCCACAGAAGATATTTTGCCTGAGTAATTCCAACAGTGATTACACTTTTCCATTCACACAGTTCAAACCATCAGATAGTCAATAGGTTGGGGTTTTTTTCTTTAAGCAGATGAGATTGTACAGTTGTACCAAAATGTTATCTTTCACAAGAGAGAGAGCTAGCTTTAAAAACAATAACGATATTACATTTCATGGACTAAGTTTAGAACTCACAATTAACTTCCTAGCCTCAAACTTACAGCTAAGTCCAAAATCTGCTGTTGAATATGTATATTCGTTTATAGATTACACATTTATGGACTCCATAAGATAGTAAGAATTTTTAAAAAATAAAAATTATAACACAAGTACAGTATTTAATAATTATAACTTTTTCAAATCATAAGTAAATGGAAATAGATTGGATCTCTCAATTGATTTGGGTTTTTTTTTTTATTAAGAAGGAAAAAACCCTAAGTGTCGTCATCTAGTAGAGACAAGTCGGCAGGTAATGTTTAGGGGCTTACAATGTCTTTTTAATCAGGGCAGTTAAAATGAAGTCTGTTACAGACTTCAAAGTTTTATATAACATAGTATAATTCCATAACACAGAATAATGCAAATAGTACTCTCCCTTTATACAGTAGAAATATCTTGTAGAAATATATTGGCAGGCATTCAAGAAAGAAAAAAAACAACAGTGCCACCGCTTTGAGAAAATATCTTGGACCAAGCTTATACTTTCTTGTAAGACTGTGCTGTAGACGTACCCTCTCTGAAACAGACAGCTAGTAGCGAAATAAACTTCAATAAAGCATGGGATGCAGAAAAGGATTTCCAAAAGCTAAAGGTGAGTTGGTCAATTTTAAATGTTTTTCAAGAGAAGTGCCTTCCTTCTAGACACATATTTTGCAAGAGCTTGCAAACTATTTGCTTTTACTTTATAGGATCTTAGTATATGTAGGTTGGCAGGGATCTCAGGAGATTATCTAAGTAAAGCCACACACTGTTCAAAGCAGGATTATCTTGAATTGCCTCATAAAAGTTGTTAACTTAGAAGATAATTTTTTCCATCCTTGTTAAATAAGATTTTGCATTTAGAGAGTCAAATTTTCAAGATTTTTCTTTATTTTCTGGGACAAAAGAAAAGTGGGACACCATCGTTTTTCACAAAACAGAAATCCCACATTTCAATCAGCTCTAACAACTGCCAGACACAGTCACATAACATTTGTCCTTACAGAAATGCAGCCAGAAGACCTGTAAATTATGCCTTTCCTTGGCTATATCTTAAATGGCAAGACATATAACTGGAGAAACAAATTCTCTAGTTAGTGAAAATGAGGCTTAATGCCAGTGGTCTCACTAAACTCTAAAAAGCAGCTGGTGCATTATACTCTGCCTGAAAGCCCTCAGACATTGCTTGCCTTGAGAGTCATTGTGATCTGTCTCACTTTTATATAGACCAGTGAAAAAATATCTTGGAGATTCCAGTTCTTGATCATAAAAAAGAATAGTAGTTTTACTAGTATTTTAGCAGTAAATTTACTACTATATTAGTAATAAATATATATTAAGTTCTAGAAAATATAGTATATAACTTACATAACATAAGATATTATATAAATATA